GCGAAATTCAAAAACAAACAAACACTCAAATGAGCCAGTACACACACGCCGACAAAAAAAGTAAGTGATGTGCAAAACTGAAGTTTTAGTGTAGAAGCCATAGTGATTATAGGGTTGAAAAATCGCTCCAAGGTGTCCAGGAGCTTGGAAGGTTAGGCCTTGGTAATTTTGGGCTCGAATTAAACGAATCCTCTTATGTTTTATAAATCTGGCACTTTTGACTCGTGATGCTTTTCATAATATTGCAAAAGCTACTTTATGGCTTTTATTACTTATGGGAGGTTTTAATTTTATCATGTGTGTAAAAGGAAAGAAAATCAGCGCGTCTTAAAAATGTAAACTTGAATCAAGTTATGATTTTTATGTTTACAGTATTTTGTTTGACTTTTTTTATTCATTTTTAAATCTTTCTTTGAGTAAGGCCCAAATGAGAAAATAATTTTTTTTAGAATCAATGTTTCATTTAACACCTTGAACTATTTATCACACATAGATTATCTCATATTTTACAAACCATCAAGAGATGTGTTCTTCAGTATGTGCTTTAATATATTTAAAAAAAAAAGTAGTGAGTGTTTTCATATGAATAAATGAGATAAAAGTATATTTCATTTCCTCAAACTTCTTTAAATTGATATTTAATAAACATTACAATCAACAATACGACAACCTAAACGAATCGCAATCGTCTGTTTTATTTCCTAAAACAAAGGATTATTGATTTTTCAGTCCAAACAGTATTTGTTATCACAGTTTTAATATTTATTTATGATTTTCTTAATTTTATCAACCACGGGAAAGTGCCTAATCGTAACAGACATATACTTCGAGCGCACAATTTTCGAACGAATATTTTTACTAGCCCTTAAAACTAGAAAACAGTGACTTCAAATACATGCCAATAAATACATGAGTTATGCTCGTGCTTCTTACCTTCCAACCAGCCGAACTATTACTGTCTCCCTTGTCCTTGAAATGGGGCACATTTTGGACCATCCAGTCGTAGATTTGAGATAGGGTTAGTCGTTTTTCTGGCGACGCCTGTATAGCTTGTGTAATTAGATCAGCGTACGACATGCTTCCCCATGCATTTCTGCGTGCAGAGTTTTTCCGCTGTGGCTGACCATTTGTCTCCGCTGGAGACTGCGCGTGCTCGTAGACTGTAGCGGGAATCGTAGGCTTCTCCTCGTCGTCTTTTTCCGGGCGAGGCAATGGCCATGTGTTACAACGAGTTCGAATCTGGGGCTCAAAATTTGAGTCTGTCTCATATGAGTCCATATTTTTTATTCTAAAGTTCCTAAATGATTTAAACAGTATTATTAGACATTTCCAACACTACGGGAAGACCGATAGACGGATTTCAACTTTAAAAATAATTCAGTCTTGTGATTAAAAAAGTTTTTACACAACTACACCAACTTTGAAAGTTCTGAAATGCTCACCCGATCAATTCCGCTCTTCGACAAATCTGTGTTTATTCAAACATATAAGGAAATATATCTTGGAATATTCTCTCCGTATTTACACTTGCTTGAGTAGCAAAAGAAGCCAGTATACTATATATGTCGAAATATAGGTAGATCCGAGACTAAGATGTGCTTATAAAGCGGTGGCTTACGAAAAGCGTAAAATAAATCGGATTTATACAAACGAAAATAACTCGTCACTGTCTTAATCTTGATCCCCGTGTGAGAGATAAACATGACTATATACATAAACAGCCTCAAAAGTTTATACTGTACAGGAGATTCGAACCACTTTGATTGCAGCAACGTGTTTGTTCACCAGTGAGCCTGTCGCGCCACACGCCCAAAGGAATTCTCGAATTGTGCACCATAGATGGGTGGAAAAGCACGTGCTCGGGTTGCTTTCCGTGGTTCACACGTATACGGTAAGATCTTTTTTCAATATAGTCCTGCAACCACTCAGGCTCAATCGTTGGAAGAAAACTGACAGTCCACCGCTGTATCTCAATTGCTTCTGGTATACTGGGAGGCTGACGAGCCTTCGAGCACCTTACTGAATTGAAAGCCGACGTCATATGACGTAGTGTTGTCAATGACAACAGTGATAAACGAGCCTCGATAGAATGAACACGTTTCTTCCGTTAAGCCAGCTTCCTTGCAATTCAACACATCTAAAGCGAAGTTTCTATTTATCTTGCAAAATGATTCACGTACTTTTTCTTTTAATACAGAAAAACTTTCAGTTTCAAATAAACTTTTAGAAGAGATTTTTTACTCCGTTTAAAACGTATTTTCGTTTTGTTTCTGTTGCTATATATACTCGTGAAGGATAAAGGGTGATAAAATAAAATAAGGCTCGTTACTTTTACCGCGGCCCACCGGTGGCTCAGCGGTATGTCTGATGGCTTGTAACGCTAAAAACTGGGTTTCAAGACCCGTGGTGGGCGCAGCACTGCTAATGCATTATATAGCTTTGTGCTTAACTACACACAAACACATTTTATTGCGTTTTAAAATAATCGCACTAACACTTCGAAGGAGGTGAAACTTTACTGTTAATGTATATTTACTACTTGAAGCTACTCAGAAACCACGACAAATAAAATGCATATATATGGATAGAAATATATTTAGATAATTTTATGTCATAGTCTCCGGGATGGAAAGGATTATTACCCACCCCTTTGTATACGGGAGGGGGAAGCACTCCCCCACTTTTAATAACCTGAACTTAGGTAAACTATGTGCATCTACAACATACTAAAAGGGAGGAAAAGTACGTACTGACAATTCTAAAACACCTATGCGGTGCGGAACTGTAATTTTCCTTACAGTGTATTACTGATCTGTGCCAAGGAAAGGTTTGTTTGTAATTAAGCACAAAGCTACACAATGGGCTATCTGTGCTCTGCCCACCACGGGTATCGAAACCCGGAGTTTTGCGTTGTAAGTCCGCAGACATACCGCTGTGCCACTGGGGGGGGGGGCGCCAAGGAAAGGGAGATACCATACAATTAAAAGGAATGCTTACGTTTGTAGACTAACAAAATTGACTTCTGCAACAGATTATTATAATAGAGTATTGCCCATCTGATTCAGGTGATAACCATGCGGTATTGAACCAAATATAGTCTGTAAATTCGGGTGGAAAGTTAACGAATGTTTTTGTTTTCGAATATTCGCGCACGTCTACTCAAGGGCTATCTCTTCCTTTTGTACTGATTCACTAGAAAGAAGGGAGCTAATAAACAACACCCAACGCCAACTCTTGTCTGACAACTACGAGGAATTGACAGTCGTCCTTATAATGGACCCCAAAGCGCGGAGCGTGATTGTTTTGTGTGTGCGAGTTAATGAGACGTGAACCATGAATCCACTGGACCATATTGGGTCTTAACAAATGTTACATATATAATAAAGTGTGTTCTATGAAACTTTCAATGTTTGCGCAAAATGCAGTCCAAAATAATGTTTTGAAGTAAGAAGTATCAGTTTTAAATTGAAATCGCCAACAACGCATTAACATGTTTCACATGAAGAAAAGGGTTAGATCAAACAGAAGAATGTTAGATAAGAAAATTAAAGTCATAAAAGTTTTTAAATACGTAGTCTATCTAGGGTTTCTGCCTGTGGATAAGAAAAATCCACTAAGACCTAGGCGGTTTCGTGGCGATTAATCAAGGCCTAGCTTAACACCTTTTTGTTTTTACAACGTTCATAATTAAAATTTCCAAGTAACTAACTGATAAAATCTCTCAGATTTTTTGGGATTTAATCTGAGCCTAGTCGGATTTTATTCTGTCTTCCCTAATCTGGGCAATCAAGTAAAATCATGCCATGACTAACACAGAATTTGCTGAGATACTGACTAATTTTATGGAGTTTAATCAGATTATAATTTAGTTCTAGTATATTTTTCTTGATCCCTGGGGTAAATAAGTTTCAAAGTACTTAATCTGAGTCTATCCCAGTTCTATTCAATCATTCCTACCCAAAATCTTTCTTTTGTTTGGGGTGAGTAAAGCCATCTGATGACTATGTGGCAAAATCCACTTAGGACATGGCTTAGTTAAATAAGAATCTGTTCTCTATTCCAATCCCTTGAAGGTGTATACTGTCTGGGAAATAGGAGATACATTTAAACAAACTCTTTGATTACCATCTCACTCATTTAAAAATAAATCACAAGCATTAGTAAAAAATTAAATAAGAAACAGATGCTGAATGTCAAATGCTAGAGGTTTGATTACAGATTGACATTTTTAAGATGCTAGAACAAATGATGCCTTACAAAATTTACAAATCTAAAACTATGAACTTTTATGAATAATAAGGGAATAGGTTATTATATTTTTAACTTTTGTACAAGTATTTTTCACTAACCACTCCTGTGCTGATCACACACATAAAACATCCTCATAAATGTTTAAATATGCATAGGGGTTACATTAGAAGCAAAAGGTCAATCAAACCTTATTTTAGTGAAGTGGAATAATTGTGTCCTGTGTGAACTTTGTATTTGGTATCCCTGCCTCTATAAAATTGACAAGAACTGTTAAATGCAATGTTGATTTTGGCACCTCTTTGGGAGGGCACCCTGTGCAGGGGCACATGTCACCATCCCAAGGGCTGTCCTTTAAAAGTGCTAACAGTTCATGACATCTAATTTTAATATCATAAGTTGACATGCATACTATGAAACTAAATGTCTGTTCACTCCCTCCTAAATAATAGGGTCTTCATTTGGACATATGCTGGATAAAATAAACTAGGGATTAACAAATTATTGGAAACTAAATCATAACTCACAAACTTCTAACCAAAGAAATTTTATTGCTTTTTTTTAAGGCATAAATCAACAACATATCAAGCTATGAATATGGAACTACCACCTTAACACACCTCTTGACTTGGAAGAATCTACAGCTGCACGATAGCTCAGGGATATTAATAATCAGATGATTCTAATAAATATTAATATCCACTTTCACAGTGTATATGTCCATCCTGAGCAGTTGACACAGCTCTGAATGGTGTGCTGAAGAATATTTCTCAGCTGCTCTTGTGTACCTGGTAGGTGATGAAGATATAAAACCTATCCTTGAAGATGTTTCCAATGTATTCAATATGGATGAACACAGCTAAAAATGCTGTTCACGAAAGGCAGAGATATGTGCTTTGTGAGAATAAGCATTATCATCCATCCCAATTAAGTCCATAGCACCAGTAGAAACCTGGCAATGGCTGCCAGGAACTCACTCCCCATAATGGAGTGTTCTGAACACCATTTCTAATGAAGTATAGATTAGCTCTTACAATGAAGCACATGTATTACACAACCATCAAAACCAACCTCAAACCTGCAATGTTCAGCTCATGTGCACTTTCAGGTCATCTCCACATACACCGAAATCCAACGATGTCGTGGAAGTCAAAATACAAGCTGTTTGTAAGTTCCAAAACAACCAGAATGTAAATGTCAAAAACCTTACTGATTAATAATATATTTTACCCAAGTGATGGCAGTTTTTTTTCTCACATACAATTCATCCATTTTAGGTATGACAGTCCACAATCCAGTTATTTGTAATAAAATAAATAAGAAATTGTAACTAAATGAAACTATTTAAATATTTGTATTTTGTTATTCTATGTCATATATAAAGTAACTGTTATGTTTTGGTCTTACAAAAATGTGGCACACAAGTATAAGTGCTGGTTTATTTTATTAAATTCCTCAAAATCAACATACAGTTATTTCTAAATTCAATACTCCCCTATTAAAGAATGTTAAAATGGCAATCTAAAATGAATTTCAAGGATAATTTTACAATAAGGTTTAAACAGCATCACATACAATACAATAAGGTTGAGATAGAAAAACTACAAATAAGAATAAAACTTTATTCATACTGTCAATATTTCACAGAGCTTTATAATTTAATTTGTATATGTAAATGTAGGTACAATGAAATTTTTAGTTGATCATGAATAGAAAAATATAACAAAAAATTATTTGAAGTTATAATAATAATAACCAACCATCTCAATGTTATGACATTGCCAAAGACTGGATGCGACTGCCTCGTCTCTCAACCAAACTGGTTGTTACCCATTTAAGAGCCGAGTTGTGAAATCTTACACTAAATTTTTACAAACAGTGCTATACAGCTTCTCTTGAAGTGCAAGGGTATTAATGCTTGACAGTATTAATACCTGAAAATGCCATTAACTAATAATAATGTCTGAATATATTTCATATTTATTCTTTTCATAACTATTAACCAGTCTTGGATATAATGAAGTTCAATTACCAAAGAATTACATATTTTGAAAGTTAGTTTGAAGTAGATCTCCACACAAATAAAAAATGGCCAAATGTAATGACACTTCTTGTTTAACAGGTTGGAAATTCAAGCTTTTCATAACAAGAGCTTATGATTGGTAGATGTGTCCATAATTCTCCTGGATCCGTTAGAAGAGATGATGGAATCTAACAGAAAAAAAAGTTTTCTTTAAAGCTTTGACTGGAGAACTTATAATTACAAATGCCTAACCATTTCTTTAAGTGTTGCTACATGAGATATTTTTGTAGGCAGTTTATTGATATCAAACATCTTATCATGGTGTAAAATGAATAAATAATAACAGTCTCAATGGAAATTAGGACCTTTATTTTATCTAAAACTAAATATTACCAACTCAGTTCTTTCTGAACACACCCCTCTTTTCACACACTTCTTTGCTGTTGTATTTTAAAGTCGATTGTATATTTACTTTCATTTAAGGTCACAACTTGTCAGTACTCATAACTTCATATATTTTCATAGCTTATGGTATTGATCATATGATACTAACTGGAAAAATCCTTCACATTTCTAAGATCAATTCTATTAAATTGGAAACTTAAAAAGCCCTCCCTGGATCCATGTAAGTGGATTTGATTGGTGAAAGTATTTTGTTTTAAATCTTTTAACTGACCACTATCAGTTGTTGTTCTATTTCAGATGACGAGACAATAAAAAATGATGGGTACAAAAGCAGAATTAATTTTGATATAAGCATACTTCATATAGATCAATGAATATTTGGGTTTCTGTAACCTTTTTTATGTTTGTTATTAAGCACAAAGCTACACAATCGGTATCGATACCAAGTTTTTAGCATTATAAGCCTTCAAACTTATGGCTGAGCCACTGAAGGACTACAGGATCACATGACACTAGATGAGTGTAACCTTGTACTCTCTAGGTTCTAGGTATTTCTTAACAATAAGAAATTATCTCTGACACTAGATCAATTTTTTGTAGTACCTTGCATATATCTTGTATAAAATGTTGATACTGTATTATCCTTAACTTTAACATAAACGTATTTTCAGATTCACATACATTTAAAAGAATGTTTTATAAACCTACCTTTAAGTCTGATATTTGGCTCTCACGGCTTACATATTCTCTTAATAAATAATTCTTAGATTCCTAGAAAGAAAAAAGTTAAAAACGTTTTCACACAAGTTTAATTTGTTGCTTTTAACTCTGAAACTGATTAATAAGAGTGTTATGTAATTATCAAAACTGTTAAAAGACCATATTTACAAGCTAAAAACGTTTTAAAGCATTCTAAAAATGGTTTAATTCAAATTATGATAGAAATAACTCATCTAAATTAGGGAATTTTTGAAAAATTCTATTCAATGTTAATTGTATTTTTTTTAATGTAGAAGCACTGATGAAAATAACTATACTGGCAACCACGCTGAACAAAATAACGAAGAAGATGGTACTTTAAACAAATATTTATTTTTGTCATCCTTTATGCACCTGTACATCACATAGAATAACAGGAGTGATTGTGTGAGTCACATGTTAACACAACATAGTCAAAAGTTCATACCTGCATATTTACAAAGAGAAAAGTGTTAAATACAGACTAATAACATAAAATATCTCCAAAAGTTTATGCTCTTAAATCTGATGAATTCAAAAATCAGACTTTAGAAGATTCACCAAAAATAAAGAACTTCAAGAAATCATGTAAAGACAAATCAGCAAAATGGAATCTGATATAACTAACTTATATGGCTGAACAGTTATAGACAAAATTTCCCCTTGACAAATCAACCTTGAAATTAACGAGCTGGTCTTTACAGTGTAGTTAGTTTGTTCAATTATACTTGTAAACACATAAAAAAGTTGTCTCAGACATTAAAAATGACAAGTGATTTCACCACTATATTTATAAAAACATTATTTACAAATAAACAGCTACATCTACAATTTATATTTTACTGACATATACTTTTTGGTAATTAGAAAAAAAACAAACAATTATTACCAAAGCTACCATACATTTATCTGAAAAAAAAATACAGGATTTTAACCAAAAGAGATAATTTTACCATAAAAACAAACATATATAGATAATTAAAACAAATAAAATGCTATAACATATTAATGCATTATTTTATTTTTAGTCTTAGGGCAAGAAATAAATATTAAACTGATTAGAGTTGAATTGATAACTTTCATAAATGCTAGACAATTATCTGAATTTCTTTATAAATCAATTTTAAAAATGAATGGAAACATACAGATTTGACAAGTGCTCAGGAATGCTGTGAATACTTTTATTTTTATAATACATATATAATTTGAGGACAAAAAAGGACCTGTCAGTCCATCTAGGCCATCCCATCCACTAAAATTAACTATAAAATAAAAATAAAGCACTCAAAGTCAGCCCTTATCATTCAAATATTTATTAAGCCTTCCTTTAAACTCCCTTAAATTAACTGCATCCATCACATCTGAAGGCAACCCAATCGAAAAGCAAACCACCCTGTTGGAAAAATAAACCTGCCTTAGTTAAAGATGACTCCTATCCTGCCAAAGGTTATATATATATGTTCCCTAGTCCTACCATTCCCACCATTAAGTATGAAAAAAATGATGCATGAATACTATCAGTTCCCTTAACAATCTTAAACACCTCAGTCAGATTCCCTCTAACTCTTCTTTTTTCAAGAGAAAACAATTTCAGAGATATTAACATGAACTTTATGACAACCTTTCCATCCCAAGTATCATCCTAGTAGCCCTCTTCTGAACCCTTTCTAACAGTTCAATGTCCTTCCTAAGGTAAGGAGCCCAAGACTAAACACAGTATATTATATGTGGCCTATCCAATGACATATACAACTTGCATTCAATATTTCTGTAGATACAACCTAAAATCCTATTTGCTTTGCACACTGCTTGGATTACTTAAGAGACTGATCAACCACTACACCAAGATCATTTTCTCCCATAATGCTGTTAAGGTTATTCACATCAAAATGATTCTTATAATTTAGATCATGATCATCTGCATGCATTTCCTTGCAATCATCATAATTAAAAGTCATCTTATATTTATTTGTTCAACTCACCAAATAATCCAAATCCATTTGCAAAGCACCAGCAACACCCCCACAGCCAGCAACACCCGAAACTTTAATATCATCAGCAAATTTAAATAATTTATTGACCATTTATTAATCTATATCATTGATGTAAATAAAAAAACAAAAAAAGCAATGATTCCATTTTTCCAGGGGACAATTTACTGAGTAATATTACACTATTATCAGTAATTTAAATAGGTGTGATATACCATCAAGCATGAAGTGGCCTAACGAGACACAGGGAAAAATCCTATTAGACCTCCTTGGAAAAGTATATAACTTTGTTATTTTTGTGACAAACTTGTGGGCCCATTCTAGCTTTGTTCAAAGTAAAAGTTTAGAGTTCAGTCCCCTCTCTGTATACCCTTGTCTAGCTTTTACAACAAGATCGTCAGTGAGAAAAAAATTAAATAAGGACAATACAAGACATAAATTGTTTTTATTATATCTAAAAACAGATGTACTGGTAGCTAAAAAACTATTCTGAATATAAAATAATTTTTACTTTTTAATATTAAAATATTCAGATACATTTTCATGTATTTAATATAAGCTGTTAAAATTAAATTACACAGCACCCTACAAATAAATAACTAAATTCAGTTTTAAATAATGTGTGTATACAATTGACATACCTCATGATATACTCTTGTGTCATTAATTCTTACCAGGATATTATCAACTCGCAAGAAGAAACGTAATAATAGAAAGAAGCTTCCCTGCATAACTCTCTAAAGGGAGGAAGAGAAAATATAATGTTTAGTCTTAATTTTAAACATTTAAGGGTAGTAAGTCACTAGCACCACTCTATGTTCATCTTTTGTGTGATTCAGGCCTTTCCAGTGGCATTCAGTATTTGAATAGAAAGGAAATTTTAATATACCACATAGTATACACATGAAACATGAGTAAAAGTGTAAATAGTGATAAGAGTTAGTAGGCTTCATATTAATTCTGAGTTTTTAACATTCATATTCACAGAACTGTAGTAGTTAATAAGCCTATTATTAAAACTGTAGAACAGCTGAAATTAATCTTGTCAAAAATTGTCTTTATTTAAATATAAGTATGTATATTGAAGCAACACATTTTTATAAAAATAAAAAAAATTATATCCAGTGAAATGTGATTTTGAGGTTAATAATGATAGATCTTTTCATTTGGTTATTTTAAGTATTATATATTCCTCCTTTTTAAATACTACTATCTAAAAACACCTGTGGAAAATATGAGGTATTCAATAGCATACATTACTGCACTTCTTACACGCACATGTTAATTTTAAACTCAAAAACAAACCATATTTAAAAAATATTTCAAAATGAAATAGTTGAAAATCAAATAATTTGAAAAAAAAGTATTTCAAATGCACACATTTATCCTCAGGTTTTTTGTTGTTGTTGTTTTTGTTGTTGCAAGCAATCAATTCAAAATTTTGAACTCGGAAACTTTCATAATCTAATACATTCACTGTGAATTCAAATAATATGCTGCTTAACCTTTCTTTCTTTTGATAAGTATAGAAGCAAGATTTCTTCTAAGTTTCAAAACAGCCAACTTCAATTTTTGGAAGAAAAAAAAGAAGAAAAAATTGTTTGTTTATTGTTAAGCACAAAGCATCTCCGTGGGCTATCTGCGTTGTGCCCATCATGGGTGTTAAAATCTGGATTTTAGTGTTATAAGCATTTAGATGTACCACTGAGCCAATAGGATGGGTGGAAAAAAGGTATATAAAGATTAAACTCCTTAGGCACAGGTATAACGTTAGTCCTATACCACTGACTAAGTTTCATATATAATGTTAAATACAAAATTAGTACTACTACCAGGATAACAAAGTAGAAGAGAACTTTAACTTTGTTTATTAATGAATCATCTTTCTCAGTTTTTTAATATAACAAATTGCTTTTAATATAATCCCCAAAAAAATTTTCTTTAACCAAAATTGTTCAATTATCCCCAATATCTTTATTTAAGATGCACACAAGACATTGAATTGACTTTGATCTAAAAGAGACATATATTAAGTAACAAATTTCCTAAGAGTAAATACACATTTTATTTATAGTCTTCAATTCTCTACTTTTAAACATATACAATACAGGTATTCCACATTTAATATGCTTGTACGTACCCTCTATCAACTCTCAGAGATACAGCCATTTTCTTTTTTGATTTGGTTAAAAAGCAAGTGATTTCTTATAGCATTTTTTTCAGTTGACACAGATAAATATAATAGTAGTTTAAGTTTTATACGTGCAAATCAAAGTAACATTTCAAGTTAAAGCACTTTCACAATTTTTAACAGTTAATAACACCAAGTCATGAAAATAAATTTTCATATCAGTCTTTTCATTACACAGATTCTTCACACAAATAACTTAAGTTTTAGTCATAAAAGATATTTTTAAAAATCTACTTATACACTGGTGTCTCCTGGTGGTGAAAGTAAATATGTTTCTACAATCTTTTTCTATCTCCTAAAAGTACACATCTATATACAATTTAAAATTAGGTTATTTGATACCTTCCAAATCTTAATTTGTCATTTGACCTAAACATGTCTTTCATTATCTAAACAGTGATCTAATATTGCATTATGAAAGACAAGCCAACTAAAATAAATAGAATGCAGGATTCTTTTTTGGAAATTTCTGAACTATATAAGCAAGCTATTGTTTATTAAGTTTTAAAATCTACTCCAAACCTCAAGTTTAGATTCCTGACATAGACCTCAGTTTTACAATCCTAATCCAAACCTCAATTTTATGCACCTAATCCAATCCCATATTTTACTTTCTTAATCCAAACCTCAATTTTAAATTCCCAATTCAAACCTCAATTTCACATTCCCATTTCAACCCCAAACATATATTCCTAATTCAACCCCAAGTTTAACATTCTTAATCCAAACCTCAATTTTAAATTCCCAATTCAAACCTCAATTTCACATTCCCATTTCAACCCAAACATATATTCCTAATTCAACCCCAAGTTTAACATTCTTAATCCAAACTTCAATTTTCCAGCAACAATTAAAGCTGTATTACATTAATGTCAATTCAACTTAATATCTTTTACTTTCTTATGTCAAAAATAAAAAGGGTGCTTCAATTTATCAGTTCTACAAATATGTCAACTCTATAAAGACAATAATAAGAGGACTTTGAATATAGTAGGTATCTTTCCACCTTAGCACCTTATATTGAGACTAGTGTGATCACAAAATGATGGGTCTTCAAATAATTCAAAAGTAAATCAACACAAAATATCTGAAAATATTTGGACTGCTGGTTTTAATTACCATATTGATCATGAAAATAGTTGATATTTTAAATTGAAGTGAAAAAATACAAAAAATAATATAATCAGTTTTTTCCCTAATAAAAATACAGAAAATACTGTTCAGGATTTTGAGACCTTTACTTCCTGAGAATAAACAATATTACACAGGAAAAATCATGTTTATAATTTTTCTTTAAAACAACTTAAATGTGCTGCAAGTTGTCCTTGTTTTTTAAGCATATCTTAAAGAAATTGATATTGTTCTTATCTCTCTCTTTTTTTTAAAGCAAAACAACAAAAAACTTAAAATCCTAGCAAACTTAAATCCACATTAAAACTATTGAATTGAAAGTTTTGATGTGTAATATTGCCAGTGCTAAACAACATCTTCATAGTATATGGACACCATTTACTAAGAGAATGAAATATTTTGTCAGTTTCAAAGTTAATGGCAAAGTACAATCATGGATTTAATCATTCTTTTCAGATTTGGTATCTATTATAAATATTCAAAGTGTTGCATATTTTAAGAAAACATGCTAGATTAAATTTTTTTAAACCATTATATTTTGTTTCTTTTATAATTCAATTTGTTTATGCCTTTCAAAATCTTCAGCATTTCCTACTAGGTGATTTAAAAAAATATACAATTAAAAATATCTAGTTTATGATTCTTTACCTCAAGCAAATGTGATGCTACTACAGATGGGCACTTTACTAAATCTACCAACAGAACAAAAAGATATGTAAGAAAATAAGTGTTCTTACTATTTTCACTGAACACTGTGCACATCCATTATCTGCTAATTCATCTTCAAACAGGTGAATATCTTCAAAGAACAATATTTTCTCTCTTACTTTCAGCTTTTCAATGTCTATCCTTTCAGATGTTTCACTCACCTTAAAATATACAAGTGTTTACTGTTTAAACAATACATAAAGATCTACAGAGTGTCTAAAAAAGAATAGCCCTAACTGCACAAACAAAATGTATGGTAGGTAAGTAGATATGTATGATTTGTTAAAACAAATTTCCAAAATGTCCCAACCAATCCCAGTAGACAAGATCTAATATAATATTTCTATTTTACTTGTACAAAGATCCTAATTAGATCCTTAAGAAACAGTTTAATAATTACCATAATGTTGTACTTTTAAAGACTTTCTGTACTTATGTACAGATATTAAATCTTTCACCTCAATCTCTGATGACATATTTTTGACATTTAGAAAAATTTTGTATTATAAGATCTTAATATGATCATTATCTCATCTATGATCACTTATCTAGTCATGGCAATGACTCCACCAAGTTAAAAAAGATGAAGTAATAGTGTCATAACTCTACATAGAGGACCAAATCTAGGTTGTTGCCACAGCTGTTCCAAATACTGGAATACCATTATTCTTATACCTCTAACAGATCTAAATACTCTTATGTGACATTAAAAACGGCAGCTACATAACTGTTTTATATTAAGAGAATCAGGCAGTCAAAAAGTGGTGAAATTCTTATTCTTTTCGACAAAGAGGGAAAACATAGTAAACAATGAAGGACTGGCACGAAACAAACTTCCACTGGTAGATATTAATCTAAAAAGTATGCATCAACAGTTTTACAACATATATTAATATTTTTTTTATAATTTTAGTGGTGAATTGCTCTCTTTAACCACTAGGTTTAAATTGATGATTTAAGGGCCTAGGGGAACATGAAAATTCTGAAATGACGGAGTGACACTTGTGGCCTAAGACACTACAGTTGTAGTGATAGCCCCCTCCCCTAAACAACTGGGTTTAAATACCACTTTGAGATGAATCATATTTTCAATTACTTGTAAAAGAATAATCAAAACAAAAAGTAGTGAAATCTGGTCAAAACAGCCAGGTTAGAATAAAGAGGTCAGCCAAAGATTCATGTTGATGCTTGTTCAAGTTGCATTTAAGGAGTGGGCCAACTTTCCCACCTTTTCTTGTTTGGCTCATCCACTTTTATATTACATCTTTACAGTTTGTCCTTTTATATAACTTGGCTCTTTTTTTTTGGATATCACATCTTTATATGAATGACCCATTTATTCTAACTTGTCTGTTTTTGGACACTTAGAAAGTTTCAATCATATCACCCATGCTTCTACTGTTCTTTACTTGTTAAAAGTGTTCTGTTTTACTTTTAAAATTTTAAGTATAATAAATATTTTATGAAGTTGCTCTCACAAAAATGTTTACTATTAGAGTGAACATATAATACTTTGACTTGATAATTAGTAAAGTATTTATCTCTCCATAACAGTACTTTCCAATGAAAATATTTTTACAATATCTATGTCAGATTTTGAAAAATAA